TTCTTATATATATATATATATATATTTGTTTTGTTTCTGTGAAAAATAACATTACAGCTGAAAGTAACCAGATGAACAGGCTGACGCGGGGATCATCGACTCTTAATTTGATCATGAAATTTTGTTAACAATATAAAAAAAATTAATCTGGATAATTATCAAAGTCAGCTTTCATCGTAATATAGAGAAAAGCTTTTTACAAAATGTTCTCCATTTACATAAATTCAGAATCAGTTACAAAGTTTCGAAAAGTGTTTACAAATGTACGCAATAATAAGGTTAAAAATCAAATAAAAACTGATTGGCTTGAAAACAGTAATGAGTGTTGACGGTATTTTAAAGTAAGATAAAGTTAAACCAATCATAACCAACTTTCTCTCTTCACATTAGCCTTTCAAGCATTATTAGCGCAAAGTAGTATTTTAAAAGCGTCTCGTCATATTGTAATACAAATCGTGATCATAAGTTCAGAGCGTCCAAACTTTTCAGCCATTATCCATAAGAAATAGGTCTGTACAGATGTCTTTTCTCTTGTTAAAATAGTTTTGGTTTAGAAGTTTTTGTTTTTAACTTCCATTGTGCTGTTTTGCTCAATGTATTAAGTCTTGGTCCTTGAATCATAATATGTTATTCATGAAATAGTACCCCTTATGATAATCTTACATTTATCTTCTGCTTCCGAGTCTTATGTATGAAGTTGTTTAGTATTTATATTTAGTTGTTTGTTTGTAATTAAATACAAAGCTACACAATGGGCTACCTGTGCCGTGCCCATCATGGGTATCGAAACCCGCTGTGCTACTGAGGGGCTTATATTTAATATGTATATTATTATTGGGGCATAAAACATATAAAAGATGAAAACGATTTCGTATCAGTTTCACAGAAATAATGAAATTCCCAATGAAATGCATATTAGGACTATCTTTCAGGAAACGTTTGGTAATAATGAAAAATTCTTGCAAAACAAAAATAAAGGTTTTAGTATTTGTATTGATTAACACAGAATACAACCAAAAATACCAAAAAGTGTAAAGAAGTTATGTTAAAACATATCAGTGAAAACTTACCGCCATCAGCGTATGTCTCAGTACCATATCCATCTTGAAGGCCATTTGCCCACGTCCCTTCGTATTTGGCTCCAGAGGAAAGTGACTGACGAACCCCATAACGGCCTTTCATCCCTTGCGTCCACTCGCCACGATACACCCAGCGGCCACGGGTTTCTACCCCTAGACCATGTCGCTTGCCATTCTGCCATTGCCCTTCGAAGGTGCTTCCGCTAGGCCAAGTATATACTCCGGATACCTCAAATCCAAAGTGCCACGAGCCACTGTATTCTCCTTGTCCCTTGGGGCCCGTGCACACTCCGTGTCCATGAGCTTTTCCGTCTTCCCAGCCCCCGATATAAGTGCCCCCATCATCAAAGTCGAAACGACCGCCGGTTGCAGTGGTGCGGGGCTGCACGTGAGGTGTTGTCATGGGCGCAAATAACACATAGAAACATCAGTCAGACAGAGCATGGTTATTGTAAGTATAAATAGGGTTTGAATATTTTAGGGAAGTGGAAATATGTTGTGTTTAATAGCTCTTTATAAAAATAGCCAGGTGACATTAGTTATTAACCTAAGTGGAGTTAACACAAGTGTTTAACTAGATTGTAAAGAACTTATACTTTGTTTTCAAGCCAGAGAACGCTTATCGAAATCTTTCGTTCGTTTAAACAATATTCATTAATGTTCACTCAGCACTGTAATGAACGATAGAGCAGCTGACGTGCATTGTACCGTCCTACTCAGCGTTGCTGACTTGGTGCAGGCAGCTCTCTCAGTCAGAGGCTGCCCATTGCTTAATATCGCATGCACAACTTACCCGTTTATGCGCATGCACATCCTCGATGCTGATGGCTCCATCTAGCAGGAAAAAGGAGTTAATAAGGTTTAAACTTACTTGGTGACGTGTCATTGGAGTGTTTAGGAAAAATTGTAGAAATAAATAAGGCGTCTGGGAGTAGAAAAAAGTAAAAAAAGAATGTTAATAGTAAATCATAGCTTGTCAATATAATAATGTCAAGAAGCTAGAACATGGAGTTATTTTTTATTTTGTTAAACAATACATCTATCTCATCACTTGGTTCAGGGAAGTATGAAGGTCATGTCCCAAAGGCGGAATGTACATCACCAGATGAAGATGATTGAAGTTAACTTAGTTAATATATTTTAAGTACACTTTATATTACTTTCTTTCGTGTTACAGTAACTTAGTACAATACCGTGGTTCTTAATACTTTGGGCAAGTATTTGCTGTGGATGCAGTCTGAACCTGTACGTTGTTAACAAAGCATCTGGCAAAGCGTACCACGTGTCACGTGACTTGTGCTAATTAAAGACCATCGTGTATAACGACTTTCTAAATAAAGCAATGGTGCAAAGAAATTTATGCCTCAATGGATGTAGATGTATTACCATTAAGTAACCAATTTTAATTCAACGTGTAGTTTACACTTAAAGGTCACAGTAAGCTCTTGTCCAACACAGTTTAATATTCTTATATTAATGTTACTATGCCATAGAAAATTTCTTTGTGACACCATTATTTCAAAATTAACTTTGACTATTTTTGTAAATAAATGTAAATAGTATACAAAGGATGTCTGATCATAATTCTACTGAGAATACCTTTACTGGGTTATTTTTAAGTTGTTCATGAACTTTGTAATGTGCTTTTTAATGATGGTGGGCTTTTTCGAATGGCCTCCTGGTTCTGAACAAAAATTAGATATGCAGGGGCTAATTTTTAATCGATGATTTAGGCAGCGTATTCATGATGAAACAAATGTGAAAATGGACACCAACTGCTTTAAATAGATAGCGGAACCTCACAGAAAGGTTTACAATAAAGAAAGCTAATGATAGGATGTTTCAGAAATCTTCCATCATCTGTGGAAGACAATTAGCGGCAATTTTCAAAACCTATGTTTGAAGCAGGGGCTAATAGCGCTTCATCATTAATTTAGATATTGATCTACTTCTTGAAGCTGCTTTTCTTTCCTCAATATGTGATTGTTTCAGACAATACACTAATGAAAACTGTTTTCCTTTAGTATAAATCATCATCTTTATTGTTTTTTTTATATGGAGCTGTCTCTCTCATAAGACTTACTGCAGTATATAATAGAAATAACTGAAATGCGGCTAATTGTTGATATTTACGATGAAAGGAATTTCTTTGAAATACAAGGTTATAGGCGTTTAATGTGAAAATAATATAAAAAGAGGAGGATGAGTGGTTTTATATGTAAAATTTGAGTTACTGCCTGTTCAAGTTGAGGATATCAAAGATAATAGTAATGATATTGAATCCATTTGGATTTATGTTAGTGGATATAAAGGAAAAAGGCTTTTAATGGGAATTTGTTACAGACCACCAGATGAAACTAATGAGAAACTTTACAGGAAGATAAAGAACTCAAGTGTCAATGAGGCTATAATTGTGTGAGATTTTAATTTTAGGCATATAGATTGGGAAATGATAAAGTTAAATCATAAGAGATACAGGTTCTTAGGTACTGATCCTATCCGGATCAGGATAGTTTCTCCAACAATTCGACAGGGAACCTACTAGGAACAATGCAATTTTAGATTTATTGTTAATTTCTAATAAAGAAAGGGTTGATAAGGTAGCGGTTGGAAACATCTAGGTGCAAATGATCATTGCTCAATTAGATTTGATATTTTGCTGCATATAGAGATAAGGAATAATGAGATTTTGGTTCGAAATTTCAAAGAAGCAAATTTTGATGAGATGAGACAAGAATTATCTGCTGTGAATAGGGAAACTGAGTTAGTTGGAGATACTGATCAAATGTAGAAAAAGTAAGTTTAAAAATAAATTATTAAATATGCAAGATAGGCATGTGCCTTATAAAATAGAAAAGGAGGTTGTAAGTAAAAATCCAGGTTGACTCACAAAGGATATAAAGGAATAGAATTAAAGAAAAGTTTTATAAATATAAAAAGTTTAATTGCAGTGCAATATAGTGAGATTTAAAGTACTACATATAACTAAGAGAGTTGGTCAAACGGGAAATAAGGAAATTAAAAAATGTATGAGAAAAATATTGGCTGAATATGCAAAAATAAACAATAAAGATTTCTTGAAATACATTAAGGGTAAGTAAAATGTTAAGATGTGAGTAGGGCCTTTGAAGGATGACACCGGATGATTATGGGATGGCTGAGTTATTCCACAACCTGAACAGTTGTTAGATGGAAACAAAGTTGAACAAGATGATCACATTAAGAAATAATTGGAAAGTTTAAAGAATGATAAATCACCAGGTCTAGATAATATTTACTCAAGGGTTTTGAAAGAAGTTAAGGATTAAATATGTGAGCAAGTTCCTATTACTTTTCTAAGTCCTTGAATAGTGGGCATGTACCAGAAGATTGGAAGTTGGCTGATGTTACTCCTCTTTTCAAGGGAGGTAAAAAAAAATTGTCCCATGAATTATAGGCCTATTAGTATTACACCTGAGGTGTAAAAGTTTTGAAAATCTGATGAAGAATGATTTACAAGTCATTTTACAAAGTTTAAAATTTTGTTTTATAGTCAGCATGGTTTTATTAGGAGAAAATCTTGCTATACTAATATTTTGACACTCTTTGAAGATTTACTGCTTACGTAGATGAGGGTACAGGTGTGGATGTAGTCTATCTGGATTTTCAGAACGTATTTGACAAGGTGGAACATAAAAGGCTTGTTAAAAACATTATCTCTGTAGGTGTGGAGGAAGTTGGCTCATTGGTTAGAAACTGGCTAGATAAAAAATCTCGACTCAGTTTTTATTTATATCAGTGATATAGATGAAGGAATGGTCGAAGGATTATTTACATTTGCTGATGACATTAAAGTTTTAGGTGTTACTGGCTGTGATGAGGATGCTACTGTCTTATAAAAGGATGTGACTTATTTATCTATCAGTATAATTTTGACGGGAATAACCTTAACAGTGTTATGGAAGAAAAAGATCAGTCTCTTAAACCATCCACGTAATGGGCTGTTGCTAGTGGCAGGGCAAAAATGAGTTTAGGTTGTATCTACAGAAATATTGAATATAAGTCTAAATATGTTATAATGTCATTGGTTAGGCCACATTTGGAGTATTGTGTTCAATCTTAGGCTCTTTATCTCAATTAAACATTGAATTGTTGGAAAGGGTTCAGAGGACAAATACTAGAATGATACCTGGGATGAAAAGGTTATCATATGAAGACAGTTTAAAAGCTCTGAACTTGTTTTCTCGTGAAAAAAGAATAGTTAAAGAGGATGTGATTGAGCTGTTTAAGATTGTTAACGGAAGTAATTTTGTTGGTGCATCATCCTTTTTTTGCATTTAATGATGAGAATATTAAGATTAGGAGACACAAATATAAGCGAAGTCATCTTTAGCTAAGATAGATTTATTTTCATAACAGAGCGGATGTGGTGGATGCAGTTAATTTAAGGGAGTTTAAGGAAAAGCTTGATGAATAGTCGTATTTTGTTGAATGATGAGGACTGGCTTTGAGATTTTTTTGTAAGGGTTTATTTTGATTTAGTGGACAGGACAGCTTAGACAGGCCAAAAGGTCTCTTGCTGTATTCAATGTTATGTTATATTATATTATCTTCATCTTTTCACGCTGTATAGAATTTAGGATAATTGCTAGATATTTAACTCAAATGTAAAATGACTTAAAATAACCTTATTTACTACCGGACGTCCATCGCCAAATAATGGTTTTTGTTTGTAATTAAGCACAAAGCTACACAATGGGCCATCTCTG